TATGACATACAGTGAGGTCATGGTAGTTTGAAGTGAGAAGTCAACTGTCGGTTAATAGACTTTTTTGCCGTATAAGTATACGTTGCCCAGGGTGCACCACGTGGAGGTAAGTCTACCGCGCACCCCAGTTTGGTGAATATCGAACGAGTTCAACGGAATAGAAAGTAGGGTGGGGATCAGGGAATGCAATTATTATAGCCAGTACATCAATATTCTTACCTTGTTTTAATTATTAAATGTTGAGTCGTACATTCTCTTCTAATAAGGTTATGAAGTCCATTTTCAAGGTCGTATTGATGAATTCTAACCCTTTGACTCTTATGACTATGGCGAGGTTCTATAAACATTATCCAAAGCGTGCAGAGATCAGTTGATTTAAGTCCTAATATCATGCTGTCACCACCACCTAATAATATAACCAACGATCAGAAGGTTGGCCCACCAGCTGTGTACTTAACACCTTCGGCATTCACTTTCAGTTTAATGGAGATTGATTGGAATACTATTTCATTCACTATTTTAATTAACTTGGAAACTAACGGCGTAGAATAGAGACTATTAGGAAGAATCAAAGACATTTGCTGAATTCGTATGCTAAGAGAAACGTGGTGGCCTCAGCTTTTTATTGGCCATGTAAAATTTTTTTTAATTGGCAGAGTAAATTTCGGAATGCAGTTGGAGAAATGAGGAAACATGAGTTAAACTAATTTGCTTAAACTTGAGCAATATCGATTCCGAAAATCACTGTGGTGTAACATCTTGACCATTGCTCAATATTGAGACCGCACCAATAGAGGGTTCAAACCTTCTTTATATTCATCAGTGTAGTTTTTTTGCATTTTCAAAAGCAGGCAGATTGACATGTTACCCATTGGTGCTTTTCAGGTTGACTCCTTCCGTGAATGTGACAACTCTCACATCTACTCTGCTGCCTGTCAAGTTAAAGTATTCAAACCTAAGGGAGCTGACCGCAAAAATAGAACCGATCGAGAGAAGATCGATAAGCGAACCAAAGTTGAAAGGGTAAGCCAACTTTCTCCTCTTCAAATAAATTTCAATTGTGGATAATTGGCATCATTTCTTTCCTTTATCAGCTTACTACGCACGGTTTTGTTTGAAAAATCAATTGTGGGGAATGTATATCCCTCCAAGGCAAATGAGAAATTCTATTAGATTTTGTGAGAGATTGAATTTAGTGTGGGTAGGCCATAGCGTTTGATTAGGTTGATCATTTCAATCTCAATGTCCTCATTTTTGTCTAGGTTGATCGCGTAGCGTATTTTTTCTGTGGGTTTTGATCCAGTTTCGATGATTCAACAGCCAAGCGTTTCATACGAGCTGGTGCATTTCCAAAAGTTGAAAACCATTTTTTGGAGATGTAGCTGATTGTATGGAACTTGCCAATCAAATATCAAAGTGCGCAGCAGTTTTTTTCCAATTTTCAGGAGTCTAATTGATGCCCAATAGGTGGCAAATATAGAATTTACAAGTTGTGTGTGTGTGTGGGGGGGGGGAGTTGGGCTTGAGTGTGTAACCCGAATTGCGAGTTGAAAGTTCTTTGCTAACTCAATGACACTATCCAGGGACATATATTGAAGAAATGATATTAAGAAGGTGAATCAACACGTTCTCAGACATGCCATAACTTTAAGTAGAATTAAGATTAAAAGTTTATACAAGTTGAATCCTGTTTTAGCACTGTCTTAATAACATACCACTGTCCGATCATTATATGTAAAGTCAGGATCAAGGCAGGTTATATCTCAAAATAGCTAGATATTTTAACCCTTCCAACGGCTAATTTTGAGTTCAGAGTTAAAATAAAATTCTTGACTAAATTTAATTGGCAACCTGTTCATATCATAGCAGACTTAAAACAAGTTTATGGGGACTGTGTGGCATATAGAGCAGACTTTTACGATTTGATTAAGCGCTTTAAAGCTGGACGAGTAGAACTTCGTGGCGACCCATGAGGTGGAAGGAGGGAGACCCACCATAGCAATAAGATAAAGAAAGAGATCTCTTTTGAAGGACCTAGTGCATAAACAAGATGAATGAGTTGCCTTTGAAGAAATTGTCAATAAAGTAAGTATCAAATACTGATGAGCATCTTTAATTCTCAGTGGAAGTCTAGGCTTGAGCAAGCTCTTGGTGGGCACGGTGGGTTCCATGGGCATTGAGGGGCCAAAAGCCGATCCAAAGCGTTGAACTTTCTGCATCGACCAATTTGATGAAGGAACAAAATCTAATGAAAAGAGTGGCATCCAAAGGGAACATCTGGGTCTCTGAAGTTGAAAGCTTATGGTGTGCTAAGAGGGCCATGACCACGAGTTTTGGGACTCAAAAGAAGTGATATTGGACAGAAATTGGTTACCTCAAGTTATTATGGAGGCATTGTGAAGAAGTTGAAGACATCCTTCTCACCAAAAAATACTGCTTGTCATATTTTATCTTATTATGACGATGCCTGTGTACATTCTTCAAGAGTTGTCTGGCTCTTGTTGTGCGGAATATGATTGGAAACACTTATACCTCCTTCGTATGGTCCAGACCTGGCTTCCTCAGGCTCCTTTAGTTTCGAAAACTGTAAGAACACCTTAAAGACACCCGATTTACATCCTTGGATGATGCGAATAGTTTCTAATTTAAAAATTCTGCACGAGTTAATCTACAGATGGAAATATAGATTGCAAAAGGGTATGAACAACAACGGAGCCTATGTAGAAAAATGAAAGTAATTACATCTTATATAGGTATATTATAAAATTTGTCTGCAATCCTTTTAATTTACCGTCGTATAAGCCCACAACCTCTCTCTCTATTTGACTTTACCTAGTTTGAGTGTCGCAGTAATTCTATTAATATTAATTGCGGCTTCACGTTCGAATATTGGAAGGTTTTCGATTGTGAACTGTTCGTATTGAGATGGTTTAATTGCCAGTAAATATATGCATCGTGGTGTATACCACGAAATCCCTGAATACCTTGTACTTCAAACGGACCAATGTTGGTCTCAATATGGACAGTTGAATTTGAGCTTTCGGTCGTGAGCATGCACACATAGTATACCTAATTATAACGCTCAATTTGTTGAACTGTCTAGGTTTGAACTTATTTGATGTGATAAATCTGAACGTGCAGCATTGGGGTATATGACAATGGACATGTTCTCTACGCATTGTATTAATGATCTCAACTGGTTGTATCCCTTTCAGCAACAATATCGTGCTTCAGCTCCTACTACATTCCTTGAAGAAGTTACCTACTGTCCGATGAGTCGACTTGCACTTAGCGACCCAGTACCTGCCAGCCCCGATCACTCTGTTCTCGCAGCTTTAGAAGACTTTCTCTCCTCTTCGTGCAATCAACATCCCGTAGATGATATCTCCCATGTTCCCTATCCTACGCCTCCTGCACGAAATGTACAACAATCCTTGCCTACAACTTCTTCCTCCTCATTTCGAGATCGGGTGGTTGTGGATCAGCAAATTCGTCCTCCTTCTCCCTCCATGCTGGTTCAGCAGCAGCAGTGTAAACGATTGGCGCAAGACGATGAAGTTGGTCTTGATATGGGGTTGAGCGAAATCAGCCTGGTGGGAGGGAAGACGCATTTACGACTGGCGAATGGATCCGCTCCGCTGATGCCTCCTCCTGTGAAGAATGGACGGCTGTTTGACCTGGGGGTTGGAGGGGATTACTATGGGTAAGCGTCAAATGGGGTTATATATACATTTGGTGTTCCTCATGGATTGATTCTACCATGTTATTAAAACCGTTTTATGTGTGTGTTATATTGGGTGTGCAGCCTGTTCCAAGTAATAACAAAATAGAAGGTGCACTGTAACGTTCTTTGACTTATCTGGCTCAACGGGTCTCATAAATGGTTCCATTCACCGAGTGTGGTTCTGTGAGCTCTAAGCTCGGGCATTTGAATTGTCAAATGACACAAGAGTCCCATTGATAGCGTTGTCGCTAATCAACAAAGAAGAAGTCCAGTTTTCTGCTCAATAAGTTCTAAAGTGAATGTTCTATTCTGGACATTTTCTGGCTGTTATGTGGACGCCTATCACACTTCAACTAGCATTTCTCCTTTAGAATGAAAGTGTTGTACATACTTCGAACCCATTGGTCGTTTGTTAAATGAATTGTTTTCAAATGAGGTATTAGTTCACTTCCATTAAATCCTTTTATCATGACATCGATATTCTTTCGACTTTAGTTATCGGCTCCATAGGTTGACCATCAGTGGGTCTATTTTTATAACCGCAGTAAATATCTTCGAATTTCTCCTTACCTATCCTCCTCCTTAAGACGCTTGCGTAAACATGATTAAAACAAATTTCTCTACAAATGGGAGGCATGTTTTAGGGAAAAGGAAGTTGATTCAATTGGATTTTCTCAATCTCCGTGCATTCACCGCATAATTTGATGGAAGCAATCAAGGGTTTGGAGATATTGAATTTTAATCGATGTGACTTTGTTTCATAACTATTTTATCTCTCGTCAAGATCTTTATGCGATTTTTCACTTTATGAATTATCTTCCCGGTCTTAAGGTCGATTATAGTATTTCCTCTTTCATTTAATCGCCGACACCTCCTCGGGCATAATTCCTACTCCTGTTTACATTTTAAGCGTTTTGTTTTTTTTTAAAATAAGATTCTGTTTTGACTGTCTCAATGATTCTGAGTTTATGTGGCTAGGAAGGAATAGGGTGGGGCTATTTTTCTTAGTCTGTCGACTTTTCTAGATCTAAAGTAGATATAATTGTGGTAGTATTGCAGAAAAATTTAAACTGTGGTGATGGAAGTCTTAATGGTCCCTTTTCCTATGCCTGTTGGGAAGTCTCCGATGAAATTACTGGTGACGGGGTATCAGTCACCCGAATGTGCCTAGAACGGAATAAGGAGCTAATCCGTAAGCTTCAACCTGGAAAATTTATTTATTTATATCAAATAGCAGGCGTTTTGATGGCTGTCATTAGCCCTTTAGTTGACTTCAGGCTTCACAGGGGGAAAGGAACATCAAAGTAACAGAAAGTCGAGAGGGGGGTGAACAGAAAAGTGTTTCAAAGACGAGGGTAGAAAAAAAAGTGAGGTGAGTACTGTAGATGTCGAATATGACGTACAATGGGGTGATGGTAGTTTGTAGTCAGAAGTCAACTGCCGGTTAATAGACTTTTTTTGCCGTGTGAGTATACGTTGCCCGGGGTGCACCACGTGGAGGTAAGTCTACCGCACACCCCCCAATCTGGAAAATTGAACTCGATTATTCACCAAAAGCGCGCGGCCATAAGGGGTGGGGGGTGGGATAACAACCAAAATGCATAATTATAAAAGTAATTAAGTTTATTTTCGATAGGAACTGGAGGTTCACCTTCATTGGGGGGGCATGCGATTAGCACCCCCTTTACAGGCCTAATGTGCTTACTCCTAGAGAAATACGATGTTGAAATACCACAGAGCGGAAAAGCATCCAAACGAGTACTTTGCTTTCCACAAGAGCAATGGCAAGATTTGAAAATGCCTAATGTTCTTTGTTTTTGGTGGCCGAATTGCCCTCATTGGCATATTTAGGGTTTAAAATTATTATTATTAACCCGTTCCATCTTTAAAATAGTATGCTATGCTATGCACTGCAGTGTCTCGCATTAGGAAAGTGAAATTTTGAGCAACACGTGTTTTCAAACTGGTCAGAATTAGTTCATTTTACACGGGTTTTGTTTTCTATGATGGTTTTTTACTTCTTATGTTCTATTTAATCCATTAGATTTTATGATAGGTTACTATTTCTCCATTTATTCCTTATGTTATCTTGAGTCATAAGGAAAAGAATGTTCCGTTTTTATTATATTATATTTATTTAATCTTTTATTCAAGCAATGAAATTCCGACTTTAACCCGTTTTGATGTCAATGTGGATGCTCTACCTTTCTCCCAATGTGAAATCAGCGAGAACCCCATCTCAATTTCCAACCCTTCATCTTCATTCCCTCCAATTTTCTCCTTTCCTATTCCTTCACCTACCGTTATTTCTTCCAATAGCAATGGTGTCTTTAAACAACCCCAGCCCCAACCTTCATCCCAAAAACGTAGTACCACACCGTTGGATGATGAAATTCCATGTCCTGGCACTTGTTCCTCTTGTGGTCGTGCTTGCTCCTCCTACTTTTCCTCTATTGACCATCATCAGTATTCTGGCTCGCATTCCTTTTCCGATTTATCCCAAGAATGGAGTGTCAAACGTCAGAGACGAAAACGACAGTCTATTGGTAGTTCTTGGCACGATAGTGAGCACTATGCTCATGTAGACAATGTTACACAAGAGACTCCCTCTGCGGTTACCCCTTGTGTCCCTGTCATGGTAACTACATCAGATTACTCGAGTCAAACCCTGGATGAGGATAATATCGATGGACAGCCTCGTAGACCGTCTACATCTAGTGAGACAAGTCAGGCCCTTCCCTCGGATGAAAAATCCTCAAAGCCACCATCTCAAACAACGAAAAGTGAGGGGGAAGATAACGAGGAAGAGGATTTTGGCGAAGAAGGAGATGACGAGAGAAGTGAGGGTGGCTGTGGGATTCCTAATACCCTCCAGGAGAACACCCCTGCAACTCCCACCTCCTTAGAAGTTCATACGACCCCTTCTGGTACGCCCACAGGGAAAACTGGAGTGGTGCCTCGTTCAGGAGCTTGTACGATGAATAATTATGGACGAAAGGCTCGGCCAGCATTCCGTGCCGACATGTCTAGGACAGCGGTATCATGTTGGTTGCGAGTCGCGGGTTTCGGAAGTTTGAGGTCGAAGTTTGCCAAATTTACTGGGGCTGATATGCTTCGTCTGAGTAGGCGAGATCTTGTCCTTATGTGTGGAACTATGGAAGGTATTCGATTGTCAAATGCTCTTCTTCAGAAGTAAGTTTCTAGAGCGTGTAGTGATTCCAGCTTGATTCTCATTTGTAACATACCACTTATTGTTTCAGGCCTCCCAGGGCGACTTGCACAATATTCGTGAAAAAGGAATCTGAATCGGGTGAGTTTTATTTGTATGATTTTCGGTGTGAGGGGGGGGGGGAGGTTATATTGCTGTCAGTCATGGAGGCATGAATTTCCACTTTACAATTGTCATGAAGTAAACACATGCACACTTATGAGAAAGAGCATGGACATTAAGGTTAATACTTACAGCTCCCTTTTAATGCTTTATTTTTCACGCTATTTCTGGCTTTAATTTTGTTTGCAAGGTTGAAATAATCTAGTATTTATTTACCCTACTTTATAGTCATTATTTGTTTGTCAATTTTTCTTAATTGTTAAACCCTATTTGTAATTTTATGGCTAACTTTTCGCCCTCACCAAAGGTGTTAATAAGATATTGGATAGACTTCTCTTCGTTCTTCCATTGTGCCCGTGTTGAAATCAATGTAGCTTAGGTTACATTTTGGCGGTGACCTTACTTAAAATGCTATAAAATCTCTACTGTCAGCTGATTTTTGCATTTTATTACATTTATTGGCTGACTTCAACCTGGACTGACTGTTAGCATATTGTGGTTCCCAAAACTCGATGCGATAGGCGTATCCGGACGCGTTTTGATTAGATTGGACATCCTGGTTAGCAGTTAAGTGCACACATTGCTTTGGGTCTATATTCTTACTTAACTGCAGCAAAGCATCCTGGTTGTAATTATCGCATTCGAATATCAATGAAATCTGAACTCCCACTCTGTAACCCACTCGTCAAATTCTCCATTGCGAATTTCGGGACACTAGAACATGGCGCGGTAGTGCAGTAAAAGATGAAGTACGGGACATATTCGGAAATCGGAAGGAGTTAGACTCTTGTTTCAACCCCTCTATCTGTCAAATTTTCATCAACTTCTACTAGAGCAATTCGCTCGTTTTGTTTAGGTGTTTTCCTTATTATTAAAGAGCAATTCTTTGCTTTACAGATAATAATAGCTCCGTTCATTATATAATAACTCCTAGTATGCTATTGATTTGTTTATTTTTTCTAATAATTTGAAACGCTTCATCATTATCAACCCGGTGGGATTTGTTTGTACTGCATTGAAGGGGGATTATTTAATTCAAGATAATTTTGTTTTATTGAGCCTTGCTAATTTGAAAGGCTCGGGACGTGTTGGTTAGCCTTAATGCACATTAGGATTGAGATCGTGAATTTTAACTACATATTTCACAATATAAGACAACAGCATTTCAGTATTAGTAATCTCTCGCTGTTGTTCCCTTTCTTCATAGTCTTTCAGTCGATATACCTGTACCAACAAACGGAATCCGAGTTGCGCATTCGTCTCTCATCGTACCTCAAGTTGTCTACTTCTCTTCAAAACATTTCAATTATTTTAAAGAAATCCCCCAACCTGGACATTGCAATTAACGACGAGGTAAACTGCCATTTTAACGTTTTGTTTCCAATTACTTGGAGATTAGAGGAGTATTTGTACACCTTCTGTCTTTTAGATGGTCGCCTATTTCGACGATCAGAGTTGCTATACAGTTCAAGTGTCTGAGATGAATCCAGAGGATAAAGTGACTGTTTTTATGAGTAAAATTTGAGTCTGTACAGATAGTCTAATTGGAAGTCTCACGTGGAAAGCACCTGTTCCCGTTTCTTGAATCCTCACTCCTTTCTATCTTGCACCAATCCAATTTTGACTCATTCCCCGGCACTCGCAATTATGGTGATAATAAAGTTATTATCAAAATCAAATTACTGTTTTCTATCGTGTGTAAACTCCTCCTACTTAACTATGCTGAGTAGAAATGACAATAAAATTTTTATGGAGATCATGACAACAGGCAGAATCGCAGTTGAAATTGGTTAAACGAGTTTTGTCAAGAATTTTATATGCGAGTGGAACACTTTAACCAATATTTGCTCAAATGTCAGCAAGTCAATCGGTAAATCGATACAATTGAAACACACTGACACAGTTTGAAGTTGGTAAACATGCGATAACGACGCACTTTGCCTAAAAGACGGAATTACAGCATGGTGGGGTTTTATGTGTTAAAGATAATTTATTACATCATTGGAATTTTTTGACAGTCCTGAGTCGCTATCTATTGAAATTTCAACACTTTGTGGGTTCAACATCATCTCGATCCATTCTTCTTCGTTGCCGTGGTATAGAGATTCAGCTTGTTCCAATGTTTGAGCCATTGGACAGTACTTGGTGTCAGGAAGGTAGAGGACTACCAAAATTCCTGTGATAAAGCACATGGCAGAGTAGAGGAGCCCCGGGAGACAGAAGTGTCTCCTATCTAATCCGTTAATAAATGGAGCAAAACCAGAGAAACCACAAGAAATGGCAAGAGTTGTGAATAAACCCATGGCCCTTACAGGTGTGGGAAAGACTTCACACATGTGGATAACAGTCATATTATAAGCCGTAGTTACCATAATCTTACCAATTATAAAGATAAGAAGATTAGCGGTGGTGGAATATGGTCGAATTATAGGTCCGAGCAAGAGGCAGGGAATGATAAATGCATTGAAAAACACTGAAGACATCCGTCTATTGAGACAGCGTCCAACTAGTAATCCAAATGGGCAAGCGAACAGCTCAGCTAATCCCATGAAGAATACATTGAGAAATATATCGTCACTTGCAACATTTGCATTAACAGAAAGACCGTAGTAGCAGATGGCAACAGTGGGAACACGAATGCAGAAAATACCCAGCTTTTTGAGCATGTTCGGGTAGTAGAATACACGGAAGAAATTGGTGGGTACATTTTTATCACGTTCAGAAGCACTGTTGACAGGTATTTTCGTCACCAAATTTTTGGCAGACGCCACAGCTTCCTCAAGATAGTCGTCGGATATTTTCACCTTATTCCATTTAGCAATTTTTGCAAGGAATTTTCTGAAATCCTCATAATATCCATTTGCACAAAGCCAACGAGGAGATTCTGGTAGGATGAGAAATAGGCAGAGGTAACCGCTTAAGCCAACTAGACCGTAGAGTCGGTAGAGGTACCAGTCTCTTGTCCAGTAAGCTAAACCTGCCGAAGCCATATAGCCACCGGAGAAAGATATCCAATATAGATTTCCATAAATTGTTCTTTTGTCAGTCGGAAGTAGCTCCTGGAGTAGGCACGATCCATAGTAAGCGAGAGGAGCTGAGAAACCTCGTAAAATGCGGAAAAGAAACACAAGGGGTAGATTGGGAGCAAATGGTATTGCCAAACTGCAAGACATCTCCCAAATTGTGTAGAATATGATCATCTTTCTACGGCTGAGTTTGTCAGTAAACGCCGCTAAAATATGACCCAACGCGACAGAGATAAGACTAGCTGAAGTTAACAGCTTGGCAATGTAGTTGCGATCACATACGAGATTGTAATCCGTCACTAATGAACGATTCATTAAGGAGTTGTCGAAGTGAAAATTTTTACATTTAACACTTGTATTACCAATGAAACATTGGTCAGGGCCTTTTCTGAGATGAAAGAAGTTAATTTGACTGCTATTGTTTAGTTGGGAGTGCTCAGAAAAATTGCTCTTAGGATGTACATCCAAACATGTGAACTTGGGAACAAAGTCGAGGAAGACAACTGACTGGAACTCGCACCCAATGTTGAAATTGATAAGGGCAGTGAAAAACATGAATGCCATGTGGAAAGCGCCATTTCCATAAACTCCTTCTATTGCAGCCTCATACTCCATGGAATGTGATTAAGAGCGAAAGGAAATGTAAGGAAATTAGCTTTTGTTAACAGAGGTCATTTAAATGTGGAACGATTTGTCAATAGTACCTAGTGATTGGTCAATTTATTTGTGTGTTCTGATTTCACTTCGTGCTTGATTGAATTATCTAGTCTTGTAGAAACTAATTATGACGTACATTGAGGTGGTAATAATCGATGGCTAACCACTGTATTGTCATCTCCATCTAAATCACCAAACATACATATCGCTTGTGTATTTTAGGCGGCCCCACCATAAAGACTTTGTAAATAGAGAGAGAGAGAGATGAACTCTTCATCCCAGAATGATGCTCGTAGGTTGTGAATTAAACTTGTGTAACTATTGAATTTGACATTTGAGAACACAATGTGTCTTCAAAAGTTTTGTCATCTAATGAAAGTGAACCACATTGACGCTGTTAGTTTATTTGAACTGACGTTTTTCGTTCACATGCAATCGATCTGGTTCAACTAGGTTTTCTTTGATCCGCAACCTTAAGACAAGCCTTTGAGTTGCCTCGTGATCTGGACAACCTCAGCAACCAACACATCCATCAGTGCCCCTCTTTCCCACCCCCTTCCAAGAAGGCTTCCATAAATTAAACCTGCCGGTCGCAACTACCATCTACCGTTATTATTTATTGCCTTTTATTATTATCTGTATCTTGACATTCAAAGATAGGTAAAAGTTTGAATTTTTGGTTTGTGGAATAGAAAGTGACCATACACGACTTCAATCTCTCTCATTACCTCAGTTCACTGCTACAGTCATTTGATGTTGAACGTGTAGTCAGGAAAATTTACATTGAAATATTTGTCAGATTTTTTTAATCATTAATGTGTTTATTCCATTGGTGGAATTAGGTTTAATATACCACATTTCCAAATATTTTAGAAAAGTACTGATAAAAGTAGCAAACTGTTTATTGTGATAAAACAATTTACAGCCTTTTTTCAACTACCTGTGACTTTAATAGACATCCTATGTGTGTGCTTTGTCTATTTACTTAACCACAATTTGATGACTCTGAGAGAGGCGGAGAGATTCCAGTCTAGTCTGCTATTATTTCGAAATGATTTACCAACCGTGTCCGAATGTGCTATCATTTTGCGAGAAATAAAAGAGACTTTAAATTCCTTTTACGCATTTTGCCAAGCCCACAATGTAGATGCCTATTTAATGGGATTGATGCGCATCAGTGATTAATCACAAAAATACTAAAGTCTATATTTACTGGCAGAATGTACAGGTATCTCTTGTGGGTGTTATTTGATTTAATGATAAATAAATGAGTAAGAGGCATCTGTGTAGCTTATTGGTACCCTAATTAACCTTGACTTATACTCATCAATTTATATGCGCATTCTCCTTGTTTGGGAAGGCACCCAGGACTAGCCGAGCTACCTCAAAGCTATATGGGAAATAGACGTATGACGTTAATATGTCTATTTTGGATTTATTGCAGACAGGGTGTAAGTCATTATGGTACAATGGGGGGGTTCAGTAAACCATGCAAGGACCAATGATTGACGGTTGGTTGGTGTTCTTCTTGCTCACTACCACACTCATTCCCTACATGAAGTAACACGGCCGCACTTTCGATCCAGATTCGAGTGCACATGAGATTTCTAGGTTCAGCGATGACAGCTTTGTTCGCTCCACACATCTGTGTAGTCACAAGGATCATAAAAGGTTCCAACAATGTGAACGCCCTAGCCAATGTTCAATAATACAAGTGGCGTAACTGATAAAAGAATCTGAGTTGACAAAACAACCATATGTTTGAAAAGTTAGTTTAATACACTTGATAATTATCATTAAATGTGCTCCTTCTGTCTGTTGGTAAATGCTAATGAAGGCAAGACTGGCTTCTCGTACAATGGCAGATTTTCAGTATCCGTAAAAACAATGGTATTAGAAGTTAAATTACAAAACCTGCTACGCACTTATTTTTATCGATTACTGTGAAAATTGCTTCCATCAATTCAAATTTGTTATTTTTCCGTTTACATCTAGGACTAATACGCTTCATCCCCCATGACCAATTATCCGAGAAATTGATGTTTGTTACTGTTACGCGTATAACTGGAACCGTTCAAAGGTAACTGGACAAGTTTTACTACGCTCATTTCTAGACGTTTTGTGTAAATTTATAAAATGTCTTTGTTTTATCCTATTCTGAGATCGATCTGAACATGAAGTCAATTGTATTACTTTGGATTAGTTCGTATAACCACTTTTAGTACTATCAAAATTACACAGTGTCGAGGTATTCAATGGGGTTCATTAAGGAATCAAATGGCGAATTAAAGACTTTTAATTCGTACTTTTACTTACAACGAGACAAATCGGAATTAGCTAGACGTCCAGCGAATCGAGTAGCTCATGGGAATGTACTGGCATTGTGACTGTACTTTATTTGAGATACATCACTTTTGAACCTTTTAGGCAGAAAATATCTGCGTAGAACAAATCAGTAACCGCATATTTCAAAACCACCTGATTGTCGGTTTACTAAGCTAAGTTACAATTTTGACTTCAAGGTGTAGGGTGTGCGATAGACTTACCTACACGTGGTGCACCCTGGCAACAAAAAAGTCTACTAACCGGCAGTTGACTTCTCACTTCAAATTACCATCATCTCACTATATGTCATATTCGAATACTTCCATAGTACTCACCCCAACTTTTTTCTACCTTTGTGTCTGCCTCTTTTACATCTTTGAAACAGTCTTCTGTCCTCCCACCCTCTCGACTTTTTTCAATTTGATGTACCTTCCTCTCTGTGAAGCCTGAAGTCAACTAAAGGGCTAATGATAACCATCAAGACGCCTGCCATTTGATATAATAATAATAATAACTTCAAGGTGTTGTTATTCGTTAATCGTTATTTAGATAAAATTGGAAAAAAAATTGGACGTTAAACGAATTGATATTTTAGTAGTTTGAGCACAACACTTTCGAGAAACTGCATACGTTTATGAATGGGCAATAAATGGCGGCATATTGACAATTTCTGTCAAATAATGGCCAAGGTTTATGAGTGATAATTTATCAACGCAAAGCTAAGTTCTAGCAAAACTTCTTTGTCGCTAAGATAGTAAGTTATCGCTTAGTTGTCCCTCCCCAAACCCCACCCCACCCCCTCTTTAAATAATTGAAAATATTTATTTATTTCAAATGGCAGGCGTTTCGATTTTTACCATTAGGCCTTTAGTTAGCTTCAGGGAAGGAACATCAAAGTGAAAAAAAGTCGAGAGTGGGGGGGGGTGAAACAGAAGAGTGCTTCACAGATGTAAAAGAGACAGACAAACGCAAGGGCAGAGAAAAGGTGAGGTGAGTACTGTGGAAATAGTCGAGTACGACACAGTTGGGTCATGGTAGCTTGAAGTGAGAAGTCAACTGTCGGTTTATAGACGTTTTTGCTATGCGAATATACGTTGCCCAGGATGCACCACGTGGAGGTAAGTCTGTCGCACACCCCAAAATAATTCAAAATAGAATAAGTCCTTTACTAAAGGATGGTATTTTGATTCCTTTATTATCTTTTTAAACGAAAATGCTCGTTAATCTAAGAAAGTCGTTAAAAAGTTTTAGCACCACCTGTTAATGACGGTCAACAAACAAAATTATCTTGAGTTTTGGGACGTTTGGAAACCGCTACTCAGATTCCTACGTCTCTGTTACTGGAGCTGTTTTGGGAATGACCTTTCGAAGGAAATCCTCCATTTGCATCACTTCATAACCAGACAGCAAATGTACTGCTTAACTTATAAATTTACCCTTTAACGGTTGAACTATCACTGATGTGCTCGCAGATACATGCCAATTTTGCATGGTGAGTTCAAACAATAACTGCATTTATTCAAATTCAAGAGAATACGCGGTGTGACGCAAGTAATTTTAAAAAACTTTTCCGATAGCTTCCTTTCTCTCTGGATTATTTGCATGTGTTCATTCCCAATACGCATGCTCAAATACCTGATGCATTTACTCAAAATATTCCCAAGAAGTACAACTAGTGTACACTAACCGAGTGTAAAATCTACTCAATAAAAATACATTTTTTTTCTTATAAAACTGGTGTTGAGTTTTATCATCTCTATTTTGTTTGTTAATCTAATAAAATTTGTAGCAATGTACTTGAAATAATTTCGAAATGTGGCATGAAATTGAATTGCCGCTTATTGTTGAATAACAAAGAAAGTTTTCTACCCAGCGAAGATTAAAGGAACAAGTAATTGCAAATTATGCAAAAAAAGTGCCAAATTGCACGGTATTCGATATGTTGGATTTTGAGTAAATCACTGGCTGTTGCATAATATCGTGCTACCATTGAATCTGGGGGATTTGTGACTAAATTAGGATCTAATTAGGCCATCGGCAAAATATCAAAAATCACAGTTTTTACGGAATTATTTCATCGTGCATAGCGAAAAAATATTTATTTATTCCAAATGACAGGCGTTTTGATAGTTATCATTAGCCCTTTAGTTGACTTCGGGCTTCACAGAGAGGAGGATGAACATCAAAGTAACAGAATGTCGAGGGGTGTGGAACAGAGGAGTAATTCACAGATGTAAAAGAGACAAACGCAAAGACCGGGGAAAGGGTAAGATAAGGACTCTACAAGTGGTGGAATATGGCCCACAGTGGGGTCATGGTAGTTTGAAGTGAGAAGTCAACTGCGTCAATGGGGTGATGGTAGTTTGAAGTGAGAAGTCAACTGCCACAGTGGGGTCATGGTAGTTTGAAGTGAGAAGTCAACTGCCGGTAAATAGACGTTTTAGCCGTATG